TTCTTCTTTATGACACTAATTAAATTGATAGATTTTATGTTGTTTTTCGTCCCATGCGAGAATTTTCACCCATATCGAGTCGAACCAGTCCAGTTGGGGGTTTCCAATTAAGATACCACATAGTGGTTTTTAATTTGACCAGAATACCTTGAGTTACCCCTGAACTATTTTTACTTTTCCCGGAATACCTCTAGAATTTTCTGTGTCTGGCTCCAAGACCATAAACTGATAATAGTCAGAAATTTGATTTTAAATATTTTTCATTATTATTTAACGAACAAGCTTAAAAATTTCCAAGTTTGTTAAATACTTTAATACAAAGAAAACTGGGAAATTTTGTTTCATTTTGGAATTATTTTCAAAAGTTACACTGATTTGAAATTTTAACTTAAGTCATTTCTAAGTTTATGGTCTTGGGGCCTAAATTGCTGTAATTGTCGTTTTGAATCGGGTCTTTAGTACATGTGTACCCACACTTAGTTCCGGATACGTTAACAAAAAATTAAGAAAAATTATACAAAAATCAAGTTTTAGAAATTATTTGCAAGATATTAAGAGTTTTTACCATAGGCAATCAAAATTCTGAGAAGTCCGGTCCATAAGATCGGCAGGTGCATATATGTTTTAAAGAAGTCACATAAACAAGCAAGTTGAGCAGATATTAGAAGCCATTATGGATCCTGCATACCTTTACTTTTTTTCTTACATATCATAAAGGTACATACATAATTATAAACCAAGACCTAAGTACCTGTGGTTACACAGAACCTCGGTTTTTAAGGTCTCATCAAAACGACCCACACCTTTCGCTCAAAGTACCAAGCGTTTGGCGAAGAAACAGTTCCCGCCTTTTTAGCTCTACTGGTCAGAGACCAGAAGAGCTTATGCGATAGTAATGCGTCCGGCGTCCGTCTGTCTGTCTGTAAACAATTTTTTCAAAATGCTACTCCTCCTACAGTTTTGGTCCGATTTCAATATAACTTGGCAGACAAGTAAACTACACTAAGATACATAATTCTGTGCATCGGTTTTTGATTTCGATGAATAGTATTGCCATGGTTACTAAAAATAGAAATTTCTGTGAAATTCTTTCAAAATGCTACTCCTCCTACAGTTTTGGTCCGATTTCGATATAACTTGGCACACAAGTAGACTACACTAAGATACTTAATTCTGTTCATCAGTTTTTGATTTCGGTGAATGGTGTTACCATGGTTACTAAAAATAGAAATTTCTGTGAAATTCTTTCAAAATGCTACTACTCCTACAGTTTTTGTCCGATTTCATTATAACTTTGCACACAAGTAGACTACATTAAGATACATAATTCTGTGCATCAGTTTTTGATTTCGATGAACGGTGTTGCCATGGTTACTAAAAATAGAAATTTCTGTGAAATTCTTTCAAAATGCTACTCCTCCTACAGTTTTGGTCCGATTCCAATATAACTTGGCACACAAGTAGACTACACTAAGATACATAATTCTGTACATTGGTTTTTGATTTCGATGAACAGTGTTGCCGTGGTTACTAAAAATAGAAATTTCTGTGAAATGCTTTCAAAATACAGTTTTGGTCTGCTTTCAGTATAACTTGGCATACATAGAGACTATACTAAGATACATAATTCTGTTCATCGGTTTTTGATTTTGATGAATGGTGTTGCCATGGTTACTAAAAATAAAAATTTCTTTGAAATTCTTTCAAAATGCTACTCTTCCTACAGTTTAGGTCCGATTTCAATACAACTTGGCACACAAGTAGACTACACTATGATACATAGTTCTGTGCATCGGTTTTTGATTTTGCTAAACGATGTTGCCATCGTTACTAAAAATAGAAATTTCTGTGAAATTCTTTCAAAATGCTACTCCTCCTACAGTTTTGGTCCGATTTCAATATAACTTGGCACACAAGTAGAATACACTTAGATACTTAATTCTGTGCATCAGTTTTTGATTTCGGTGAATTATGTTGCCATGGTTACTAACAATAGAAATTTCTGTAGAATTCGTTCAAAATTCTACTCCTCCTACAGTTTTGGTCCGATTTCAATATAACTTAGCACACAAGTAGACTACACTAAGATACATAATTCTGTATATCAGTTTTTGATTTCGTTGAATGGTGTTGTCATGGTTTCTTAAAGTAGAAATTTCTGTGAAATTCTCTCAAAATGCTACTACTCCTACAGTTTTGGTCCGATTTCAGTATAACTTGGCACACTAGTAGACTATACTAAGATACATAATTCTGTGCATCAGTTTTTATTTTGATGAGCGGCAATAATCATTTTTCTATTTATTACTGTTTTAAAATTTCAAGTCCCAACTGCTACTGTTCTCTTCCTTTGTTTTAAGTATAAACCAGTAGAGCTACAGTCTCGATAGAGACTTCTGGTTTATCGACTTAGGTCAGTCGCGGACGAGGCTTGAACCTACAACCTTCTGATCAAGAATCGAGCCTAAATCGGCTATTAAGATACAAAGATGAGCTGAAAACATCGAGTTGAATGAAATTTTGGTTTCTTCACTTTTGTGGGTCTATTATTGGTCTATTATTATATGCTGTGGTTTCATAACTATATGCTGTGGTTATTTTATAATATGCTATGGTTTCATAATTTTATGCTGTAGTTCTTTTATTATATGTTGTAGTTTCATTATTATATGCTGTGGGTTTATAATTAGTTTTTTTCCAAAGAAAGTGGCCCCATAACTCAAATCATTTGACTGGACACTAATCTAGTGTTTCGGCGGTGTAACTTATATAACGAGCTCGAGGTTTACGATTTTATTTTATTAATTCGCTGAAAATCCGTCATCATCAGGAGCCTATTTGCACATATGTTATGCAGATTATTATTAAATTAGTTAGAAAGAGAGCATATCATTCTGATTCCTATTGTGTTTAATGACAAAATAGGTTATACCCCGCTCCGAAGGACAGTGGGGAATTACTTTTTTACCCTTGTGTGCCTGTCCGTCTGTGTGTCTTTCCTTAACAAATAACTACTCATTACAGATGCTTGAAATTTAAGCAGTCTTTGCCGAGGCATGTCATATGGTGGGATTCATTATTGTTCAAATCCGATGTCAATTTCATGTTTATGCGTGCGTCTGTCCGTTCCATACATTAGCAATTTTCGTCGCAGTTCTCTCAGCCACTACTCATTGCAGATGATTGAAATTATAGCACATACTTTGTTGAGGCATGCAATATAGTGGAATCTAGTTTTGTATGAATCTGATGTCAACTTCTTATTTATTTGAGCATTTGATCGTAACTGAACGCGTGTATATTAACATTATACTGTATATTCACATCAGAGTGGGGGTATTACTAGTGAGCATTGGTTCACAGACTTCTTGTATTGCAATCTTTACTTCCCGACAAGGAATGTCTATTACATAATATTAAAGGCAGTTTATGAAAATTGAAATCAACTAAATTGAGTATATTTAAAAAAATTATTGTGCACATATATAACCTGTCAGGAGCTCACATTTTCCAGATAGGTCAGACTTCGAATTCAGATTGAAGTGTGTATCTTACTTCCGGGGCCACACCGGGAGTACCTGCTGGTCAGCTACACTGTACTCACTTTACACAAATATGCAATAGGAGGAGCTAATAGCTGCTGATGATTCGGTTTGTAGGGAAATTGACGATAAGTATTTTCTCAGTCCATGGCTCGACTACAGCAGACCTTTATTAACTCGGATTTATCCCAGAAAGTACAATATATCTATCTGAATTTAATGCAAATATTGATAAATAAATCATTGAATTTTTTAAGTCTGGGACCCCTTTCCGTACATGTATAAAATATTTCGCTTACACAAGATTTTCAATAAAATTTGAAACAAATTTATTACATGTGCGATGAGGTATTAGGAATTACTAAAATACCGGCACATTTTAGGAAATGAGAGGATTGAAATACAAATAATTATATTATGAACTCACAGCATATTATACACCACAAGCATACAATTACATGTATGAACCTACATCATATAATAATAGAACCACAGCATCCATAATTATGAACCTATAGCTTATAATAAAAGAACCCAACATATAATTAAAGAAGCACAGCATATAATTAAGAACCCACAGTATATTATTATTATGAACCCACAGCATATACTTAAAGACCCACATTATATAATTATGAACCCACAGCATAAAATAACAGACCCACAGTATATAATTATGAGCCCAAAGCATATATTTATAGACCACCAGCTTATCATGAAATTGTTTAACATAAGGCAGCCATGGCTTTCCACACTATTACTCTTTTGCTAAACAAATAACATTTGGTGAAATTTTTGTTGAAAGATAATGAAAGGGACGTATATTAAACAATTGCTTTTACTTCATATTTCATTAGAGTAGTACCGCAGTTATCGTGAAGGGTCTTACTTTATATGCATGATAGTATTTCATTTTCTATAGCATTTTGTGTAACAAAGTTGGAAGATAAAACATTAAGTATGAATATTATAATATATTTTAATCCGAAACAATTTTATTCAATACATCATTAAATAATTAAACTGAAACATGAAAATCTTTATACAGTACACTAAATATAATAATTTTGACGCATCGCACATTTTTATTCATCATTTTCTCATACCTTCCATACAGTTTATATTTTGAAATAACAATGATTTCGCAAAAGCTTGCTCGAAGTCACTTTGTTCAATAAGAATACAAAGTTGCGTTCACCATGCTAACAACTCATCTTGTTAACACAACGAGGTACATAATAATGGTGATATGTCTACATAATCATGATAGTCATTTTTGACCTAGCGTGCACTATACATCTGTAATTAAATTTCCAATATTCCTTTGGACACGTGAGTATGGACACACATTCTGTCAGACCTTTGTGGAATTGTTATTTAAAATGTTCCTATATACATGTAGCAATTTTACGAAATACCTCCACCTTTTGCATTTTTTTCAAAACAAGTACGTAAATACTGTTTTATAGTAGATTTTATTTAAAACATATGTAATTATTTTGATGAACATTTCGTTTTTTATGGTGCAAGGCGTCTCATAACTTGATTAGTATTGCTTCTTGTAACAGTTTTAAAGAAAGATACAATGCAAGGTCTGACTATACAGTGCTCTAATTTATTGCGGTTAATTACCCTTGAAAAAAAAAATAAAATGGATGGAAACACAAACAGAATACCATGCAGGCCAAATGATGCATGTTCTCTATAGAGACAGTTATCAGCAAAATATGTACAGAAAAAACTTTTACAAATTATTGAAACAGAACTTGGGTTTACAGAAGTATTTGTAAATCACGTTGTAAACACCCAAACATATAGCTGGACGTATCACAAGACACATTTCTTGCTCGTTGTTCGTATTCTTGACGGAATTGGTTCTTTAAACGTAACGACAGGCGGAGCAGGCACACGATTTGGCAGACTTGAAAGTCACTTCACGCAACCCGTCTGCGCATCTTACGGACACCGTTATCTAACAAAAAAAAATGAAATTGAAATACATCACTGGAAGAAAATAAGGAAAAGATAAAATAAAGTCATATGTTAGTTCAATGTGTACAAATGAAACATTCTCTATTTAATTTTCTGGATCACACAAAAATGGAATTAAAGTCCAAGTCTAAACCTAAAGGCATATAACTGCAGTGTGATGATTTCTATTACAAAGTTCTGTTTAAGAATAAATTTTGAAAGAATTAAATTTTGCTATTTATGATTGCAGAAATCATCAAACTGTACATGAATATGGATAAAAAACTTATACCATATGGGTCACAAACAGTTTCTTTTTTAGACATAACAATTTCAATAAAAATATTACCGTTTTGAACTCATGGCTGTCTTTATTATTGTTTTATACTTTATTCGAACAGTTTTTGAAGCTGAATAGCTTAAATGAAATGAATGTATGTGTATACTCCACACCATGACCATCAAAGAAAGATTTTATCAAAGAAATTTCGTGGTTTGTAGTTCTTTTAATTTTTAGCTCTAAGAAATTTCGTGATTTGTAGTTCTTTTAATTTTTTCCTTTTTCTCAAGAACCACTGCAATACAAAGCATCCTTGGGTAAAAATAAAAAAGTTGTCTTCCTTTCACAAGCCCAGTTATTTTTAGAGAAAAATTAATGGCATTTTTAAAAAATATATACTTTATTCTCAAAGAAATGGGCCAGGAAAGATGTATCATGTTAATTATACAATTAAAATGTATCTTACAGTAAATATTCAATATATTCACCACCAGTTCAAAATTGCAAAAAGTTTACATAGAAAAAGAAAAATCTTTAAAATCTTCTTCTCAAGAACCACTGGGCCAGGAAAGATGAAACTCATGTGGAATCATCCTCAGTAGTAATTTAAGTTTGTTTGGCTAAAGTCCATGTGTTTCGAAAGTTTTACATAGAAATATATAGGAAAAATCTTTAAAATCTTCTTCAAGAACCACTGGGCAGGTGTTTCTCATGTGGAATCATCCTTAGCACTCTAGATTCAAGTTTGTCAAAAAATGGCCCCCGTAGGATGGGGCAAAATGGCTATTAAGTTTTACATGATGGAATATATAGGAAAAATCTTTAAAAATCTTCTTCTAAGGCCACTGGGCCAGGAAAGATGAAACTCATGTGGAAGCATCCTCAGGTAGTTAGATTCAAGTTTGTTCAAATTGTGTGACCTGGAAAAAAAGCAAAGCAAAAAAAATATATAGGAAAAATCTTTTAAATCTTCTTCTATTCCACTAAAACTGAAATTATATTCAATAGTTAGATTCAAGTTTGTTCAGTGCTTTGTTTGTAGGGTGGGGCCAAAATGGCATTTTTACATGAATATATAGGAAAAATCTTTAAAAACTTTTTTCGGAACCACTGGGCCATGAAAGATGAAACTTTGGAATCACTTTGTGATAGATTCAAATTTGTTCAACTAATTAATTTGATTTAATGGTAAAAATAACAAATTAATAAAAATATATAGGAAAAATCTTTTAAAATCTTCTTCTCAAAACCACTGGGCCATAAAGATGAAAGTCGTTTTGTTTTATTTCTGTTGACGTTTGTTATCATGATTTTAATGGGGAAAAAAACAGGCCGACCCGTTTTACATTAAAATATATAGGAAAAATCTTTAAAAATCTTTTCTCAAGAACCACTGGGCCAGGAAATTAAAAACTATGTGGAATAACTTTGTGTCAAGTTTGTTCAAACATGACCCCTGGGGTTTCACAGGTAAAATGGCATAAAGTTTTACATGTTTACAGTGAAACCTTTTAAAATATCTTTTCAAGATTCAAAGCTTTTCAGTGATATTAATAAATCATCTTCAGGTAGTGTAGATTCTATTTGTTGATGCCCCTGACAAAGTTTTACCAATTATTATACACTGATATTTGCTTTTTCCAAAAGGCAATGTGCTCATTGGAGAGTAATTACCCCTGGGCCTCTTGTTTCCTTTTTCTCTGTCCTCTGCAATATTCTTTAAAAAATAAAAAAAATTGTCTTCCTCACAAGCCCAATATTTTTTAAGGGAAAGAAGTTTTCAAGATACATGTAATAATATATACCTTTATTTAAAAAGAAATATGCCGTTGTATAGTGTTAATTATAAAATTAAAATGTATCTTACAGTAAATTTTCAATATATTCATCACCAGTTCAAAATTGAAAAAAAAAAGATTTTAAAATCAAGGTAATTTTAAGGCTCATCGAACTTAGTTAACTTAAATAGTGTTTGGCTAAAGTCATGTGTTTCGAATTGTAGCTATGAATTAGATATCTTGAATAATGCTCAGCTTACGTCATGTGTTTCTTCTATTCCGCAGCACTCTGCTCGAGATGTCAAAAAATGGCGTTCATTGGCTATTAGGGTTCTTTGAGATGATGGAATAGCATAGGACTCGCAAAAGCCTCTACAGGCATTTGTTGTAACGTTAAATTGCAGGCAACCCGGAATTTGAACTGTTCTTGTGTGACCTGAAAAAAAGCAAAGCAAAAAATCTCAGAATGACAGCTTTTAAATCGTCTGTATTCCATTAAAACTGATTATATTCAATATTGAGTGAGTGCTTTGTTTGTGGACTAAATCTGGCATTTATGATTACTTTGATCACTTGGTTTTCGGTTACTGGTCGAAGGAACTTTTCGATTGCACTTTGTGATAGACCCGGATGTAAATAATTAATTTGATTTAATGGTAAAAATAACAAATTAATAAAAAATTAACGATGAATGTAAATATGTGATAACCAAAGCTGGAAATAAAGGTGCAAAGTCGTTTTGTTTTATTTCTGTTGACGTTGTTATCGTTCATTTTAATGGCGAAAAAAACAGGACCCGTTTACCGACATTAAAATATTGGAATTGAGGGAAGCATAACTTTGTTCAAATAGAGGAAATTAAAAACTATTAATAACTTTGTGTCTTTATTCGAACGTGACAACTGGTAGTTTCACACGTAAAACATAAAGCTATGTTATGACAGTGAAATGGAAATATTTATAAAGATTAACCGTTTTCAGTCAAATGAAAAATCCACTTCTATATTTGATGCGTGACAAAGTTTTACCAATTATTATACACGTCGTTTACTGAAAAAGGCACTGTCCATTGGAGAGTAATTACAGCTCGACGCACTTTTTAAACTCATATGGTTTTTCGCACAAAATAAAGTCACATTCTTATAATGCAAAATTGTGTAATGTGACAACAAAATATATTTTAAACATGATTTATAACTTATTTTTGATCTTATTTTATTACTTTAAACATAATTCAAACATAATAATTGGTGAGATTTTTTTTATACTCTTGGATAATAGAATATAGCAGTTCCCAAATGTTTTTTTTCATGGTTTCTCGTCAATTGCAGCCGTTTTTGTATCCGTTCATTTTAGCTTAATACAGAAACAGTGCATTTCATGTAACTTCTGTATTTCTAAGGCGCAAGATGATAGAAGTATTACTCATCTGTTCGACTGCTTTCAGTGTTAAAAAGATGACTTTTTTCAGGTTAACTTTCTGAAATCTAGGAACATGAAAGATCCCTTCCAACGCAAAATGTGAAAGTTTCAGACCATAATTGTGAAAGATTTTTTTTTCAATGCTAAAACTGTAATAGGTTGAAAGATAAAAAATACTTTATTATCCTATCCTTTGTCATGATTTCTTTATGCAGTTTTGTAAGTTTTTGGTGCTGTATTTCGACAAAACCAAAACAAGTATGGAAAATGTGCAAAGTACTAAGAAAAATACTCATCTGTAAAACATCAATTTGAGCATTTCAACTAAATAGCATTGACGAAAACTCGATTAATTATTTTGAAAATACCTAAGGTAGAATCATACAAATGTTACAACACAAAATTTATAAACAAATTCCCTTCTTAAAAATGGAGTTTTAAAACTTACGATAATGATTTTGGAGAATGTGCACCTTTAACGTAAATTATTTAATTATATAAGGGTTATGTCTCGTACTGAAGCTCGTTAATATTAAGTTTTATTGCAAGAAAATGTAACCTTTATTTGTGCGAAAAACCATGCGAGTTTTAAAAGTGTGTTGAGCTGTATATGTATATTTTTGTATCAGATGCAAATGTGCCAAGTTCCATATATCGAATATTATCTAGGTTGAAGAACAGGAAAATGTACCTGTGTAACCAAATCAGCTACACACTTTAGTGATATAACTCAGTGCTTAATTGACCCTCTTTTGGTACAGGGTCCTGAAACTGAGCGGAAACCGTTGTTGGACCGGCAGACAACAGCAAAGCAATATGCATAGAACTTTAAAATCAAATGTATTGTATGCAGAATGCAAGGGACAATCGAGAGACTTTGGTTGATGGAAAAATCCCCCAAACTTCTAATTCTGTTATTAAATAAGATAATCGTTTTAAAATTACAACAAAAATCTTTAAAAATATTCAAGAAACTGCACTTTTTGTGCGCAATAAATTTTTCCGTTTTTTTTTTTATTGCTGGTAACTAGCTCTCTGATAGTTCATCTTGTTTTCCCATGACCAGCATATTACAGACCTGCAGCTAATCTTATTGTAGTCAAATTGTTCATTATGTTTACTCTAAGTGCAATCTTAAAACTTTGAATAACAGGACCTCATTTCGGTGTTCTCGAAGCTCTTTACTTCATAAAGACTGCAACTTCTGACAAAAGTTCCGATTTTGGATCAAGCAAAAGACTTCCTGCAAACTTCTTAGAAAGGATGAGTATAATTAAATTAATCGTACCGTAATATTACATGTATTAGGATTGCAATGCAGTAACTATAAGATTGGTGATATTAATCAGGATTTGAATTTATAAATAAATGTATGTATATGTTTCAGATTATGATGATATATATTCGATTCTTTAAACATTAGGCTTCAATGTCAAACATACCAGTAACAAACACCACAAACTTTAAGATTATGTTCTTTGTTTATATCACAACCGCGTGTCCATTGTAGTACACAAAGCTTACGATTTCCTGTAAATATTTGAGGAAATACAAGCTGGGAGGATTCACGATCGGCGGAAAAAATAGCAATACGCTTTGAAAATAAAAATGAAGTTGTTCTAATCATTACAAAATTACTGATTAAGTTTGCCTTAAACTCAAACAGAACACTTAAAACTAAGAACAGAACCTTTAAGGGTACACGAAACCTTAGTTTCACTTAAACAAAGCTAAAATATAAAGACCATCAACAAGACACTCAAGTTTTTATGTCTCTTTTAAAACAATACTTGATTGTGCACTTTTCTTTTGTTTGCTCTAGAAAGGAATGAATCGAACAGGTTTCGTATGAAGACGTTGAAAAGTTTCTTTCCGAGGGTTTCCAAGCAAACAAGCGTTGCTTTTTAATTTGTTTTGGAGAGAGGATCCAGATGAATCAAAAGAAAAAAAAGTATGCATTGGATAACTAAACCATTATACATGCTTCAGGGCAAATATCAAGGAGAGATTTGTGTGAATTATTATCTAGCATGCTGAAGAAAAGTCAATCTTAATTCTTGTCTTATCTGTCACATTAGATGCAAAAACACCATTGATGTGCAGATAATGTATGTTACAGGGTCAAAAGTCGTGCATTACTCAGTTTTGTTGCTGTAACAGTTCCCGGACGTTCATTTAGTCAGTTTTTGTAATAACTATTAATAATGATTTGTGTTTATGCTATCTCGCTTGTGTAATATCTCTAAAATGAAATCCCTTTTCTTGCTTCTAGACACGTATATGATTAATTCGGATTTCTTTGTAATTGACAGACAGTTACCTTCCCAACATATTACATACAATCAAACAAAATAGATTCCAAACCATAGGGTGGACCTTTTGATAAAAAAAATTGCTCCCTCAAAACAAGTTCACTGGCCTATAAATGTACTTATGGATCATCACTTGTATACATCAGCCGTTGGGACTCTAATGACAGAAGCCAATATGAGATACAAGGATTATGCAGACTAATAATGACGTTCACATTAAAAGAGTATTGTAATAGCTATCGCCAGTGATCATCATTGGCAGTTCAATTTAGGGAACTCAGAGTAGAAAGAAAAATAGCCCCACCCCATTGTCATCCCCAGGAGGACCCTTAAGAGAGATTTTTTTAAAAGTTTTTTTTGTTATTTACAATGCAAACAAAAATTAATAGTGGCAAAAAAAGTGAATACTGTATTCAGGAGCCAGTAACTAATAAACATTTAAAATGACCATTTTGGGCAAAATAATTAAAATATCAACAAGATAAGTTTGTAAAAAAAACTTGTGCCCCCCTCCCCCAAATAATTGTTTTTAAAGTCGAAGGGGTATAACTTTGTCAAAAATTGCAAGAATTTACCCAAAACTTGACTTAGATATTCATATGATAAATCGGTATACCAAATTTTAGTTCAGTATGTGCAACCTCTCCAAAGAAAATGAACGGAAACTGCAAATAATTGAAAATTTAATCAATCAAAGGGGCATAACTGTCAAAATTGGCTCGTTCGTACCCAAAACAGCACTTGACCTAGATAGTCTTATGATAAATCTGTATACCAAATTTCATTTCAGTATGAGCAACGGTTGTGAAGAAAATGAACGGAAACTTGGTGGACCGACAGACCTCAACAAAGCAAGATGCCCTCCCTTCTTTAAAAGGGGGGGGGGCATAAAAAGTTTGTAAAATTTTGTTGTTGCCATGACTTGTTCTAAGGCAAGATGTTCTATATGAATTTTTAAAAGGCAGTAGGAAGTTGGTCTGAAAAATTCTCTCTAGAAAACTTTCTATTTGCATTTAGATGATGGCTTTCTCTTCATTTCTTTTACCCAATCTTGCAGGACCCACTGCCCCTTTTCACGGATTTTTTAAAAGAAAACTTTTATGAGCATTTAGGTGATGGCTTTTTCTTCACTTCTTTTACCCAATCTTGCAGGACTTTCACGGAATTTTTTTAAACGGCAAATCAAACCTCAAAGACAAGAAAAGATGAACAGCTATATATTTGCATTGCTTTGTATTAATTTTCTTTTTCCTATCTGCAGTGCAAACGCACAAAAAATGAACCCTCAAATTATTACTTACCCATTCTAAAACATCCAGCTTTATGTAGAGAACGTGGATCAAATGAACATAGCACAGACTGTATACAAAAGAAAAGTATCCACGCACAATTAAAGCTCATCTTTAGCGCTTCCTTCAAGTTGCATACCCGAAATACAGAGGTCCATATTCCCTAATAAATCTCCAATTAGTAGGTTTTATTCTTGAGGTCCACCCGTGTGATAACAGAGGCAAGGATTGACGTTAAACGGCAAACAACACCCCCACATTCCCTAGCATGACGATTGATTCGTCACCGGAAGCTCAAAAAGATGATACAAATGGGACTTCTATTGTAGAGAGCGCGACAAATCACCAATATCTAGCTTTTCAGCTGAGTTATTGGGATATGCCGATATTCATTTAGTTTTGATCAATACGTACTGGTCATCTTGAACGCAAGCATATTTTGGAGAGAAATTTAATATTAATTGAAGTTTTACAAATGCCAAAGCAATATTAATGAGTTGCATTTTCCAAACTCTATAACTTTTTGTCTTCATGTTTAAACATACATGCATACAGGAGGTCGACAAATCAAAATCATTTATAGTTCTTAAGATAAATTCCATAATATTGTAAATGAGTCTGATTAGTTTAATTAGAAATTACAAACAGCACTGCATTATAGCATTGATGTTCTTTAGAAAAGGAATGGCTTTTCCGGCCAAAATGTGTAAGTGAAAGTTAGTTTTTGAAGGACACACCTTTACTCCGAAAAAAAAAAAAACAAGCATAGTGGTGCGGGGTAGGGGCGGAGTAGTTTGATCTGTCATTGTGACATTTTCAGATAATCTTTCAAGCTTCAACTGAGGGTACATTTTCTTTCACGTAAAACAGTACAAGATACAGATATTTAATATGTACTCATTTTGGTTGAACGATATTTATATAATAATACATTTGTAAGTAGATAATCATAATTTGTTTTAGGAAATCCAAATTAAGAATTCTTGCCTACACATTAACTGGTTAAAGATAAGACTTTAATCTATGGATAAATTGTCATGTTTTGAATAATTGGACGGACCATCGCTTTATCTTGACGAAATACCCTAAACTCGTAGTGACAAAACAAACAAAATTCGCACGTTTGAGGGGAGTAACCCGAGAATGAAACGGAAATTGTTTCTTTCCGCATTCGATCTTTTTAAAGTAGAGACAAAATAGTAAAGGTGAATAGACACAGATTTGAAGATAATATTTTCTCAAATTTTCTGTATAATATCACGACTTATATATTGCAATAGCATTTCACATAAAAATATATTAAAAACCTTATTTCATCTAAAAGTTATTAAAACTTCAAATTTCTGAACGGGTTTGATTGACACATCCTTTCACAAATTATTTTATTCTTAATACTTAGGAAAATTGGTAATCTTGTGTATTAATGAAAAATATTAAAACTTGAATACAGAAAAATAATTATATCTAGAGTAGAAATGTTCGAAAGCAAAACCCCTTTACAAGTTTCGTCATTCCGCGCTTCGTGTTATGTACAGAGTTTAGTAAATTCAACACACCTGTGAAACGTACACAGTTTTTTTGTAAACAGGGCACGAGCTTTGTTATTGTTGAAGCGACTGTACGGCTGCATATCGTGTGCTTTTTCAATCAAATTCACCCAAAATATTATCAAGGAAATCAATAAGGTATAGAGTTGAAGTCAGCAGTTTGAGAAACATAAATACTATCACCTCATGCAAAATTAACGTAATTTGAATCTGCCGGAAAATCAAGGGTCGTACAACTTATATCTGTTTAATTGCACCACGTGGATACTAAAATAACACGTGCCTTCACAGTACATGTTGTACGGTTTACAATTGTAATGGAATATGAGGTTAAAGCAATTCTCAAAAGCAAAATGTCAATATCTTCGATGAATTAATAATCGTTAACATTTTAGCCTGCATTCAGACGAATTTAACAGAATTAAATGTTGACGTTTTGTGTATTGGGATCTATAGGAAAGGAAAATCCACCAAATCATACGTTATCACGACAAAATGCGAAACAAAATATTTTTCTTCAATTCCATTACAATTTGCACTTCAAATGGCAATAATTTTATATGTCATAGGTGCATTTTAATGTTGAGTTTAAAATGATTTTTTTTTCTTTGAAAGCCACGGAGATACGAGAAATGATAGCTTGTATCAACAAAGCTGTAGAGTCGATTTTTCGCGAGTCCCGCGAGTATGTCGTCGAGACCCCATGTCAGCATCCAATGATTAAATTAATCACCCAACTTTTTTTTTTACTAGGAAAGTTGCTTTTCAAGTCCTATTGTCCTATATGTACCATGCTGTTTTGTTTATGAAAACTACGCATGTGTGTCGCATGGAATGTGGAAAGCGAACATGTTGCGATGTACTATATAGATATTTATGGGCCATAAATAATTATTAATTTTATTGAAATATTACTTATGAAACTTGTAATTTCCTAAAAATGTATACATTTATGGGTAGTAAAAAATTCTATATCCTATCGGAAAAGTTTTACAAGCCTGTTTTTGATGAGATGCGCCTTACAGTCAATATCATGTTGACGATTCACCAGGTGTGTTCAATTGTTAAAGTGTGCACACAACCATAGAGCACGCCTGACAATATACTGTGTGTATGTTTTGCTTTCGAACATTTCTACTCTGGATTTTCTGGATTATAGATTTAATATTTTTCATTAATACACAACAAGACTGCCACTTTTCCTAAGTATTAATAATAAAAATTAAAATGTGTGAAATTGCAAGTGCATGTGTCTATCAAACCCGTCCAGAAATTTGAAGTCTCAATCAAACCCGTCCAGAAATTTGAAGTCTCAATGACTTTCAGATGAAATAAGATTTTTAATATATTTTCGTGTGAAATGCTTTTGCAATATATAAGTGGTGATATTTACAGAAAATTTTAGAAAATATTAACTTCAAATCTGTTCTATGCACCTTCAAGTATTCTCAGAGCTAGCCACAGAAATCTCGCTTTTAAGAAATATTAGCGGGAATCATGAATTTTATTGTAGAATTTTGGAGTTTTGATACATGTAAAGAACAACGATATTTCTCAGAAGTACAATTGATCGTAAACTATATTATGAGTTAGTGCTCCAATCTTGACCTCTGAAAAAAGATAGAATCAGGTACCATTGAGAAGTAAGCATTCCATGTCAACTGGTCACACCAACCGTGTGCTCAGTGTCATGAACTGATAGGGTTATTGGAAAAACCCGTAGATAATTCAATGTGAAAACAGTCTACAAATTTAATAAAACCGCCAGTCAACATTCGACTTCATATCAACATTTTTTCTCGTTACAGTGAAAACTGTCTAATCCGACACCAGTGTTATCCGTCACACTGTTAATCCCGACGTTAACGTTAATACCCATATTACTATTTTCCGTGTTTTTGTACACTGTCTAATCCGATATCTTGTCTACTCCGACATAAAAATTCATAAATTTTCCAGTGCATGTCGGATTAGAAAGGTTTCACTATATTTTCCAAATACGACAAGAAGTATGTGGCGGATGCTTGTTACTCCATGTCACCTGATGATAGCAGAAGTGCACGTATACCTCACTAGAGTCTCTATATTTAGATACTCTGCTAAGAATCAATCACAAGATGTAGGCAAAGGTATATCTATTAAACCATAAAATTTAAAGATCCAGCTGGATCATATTTAAAAAAAAATATTTTTACATCTATCACTTGATAAAAGATTTGCCATAAGGAGAAAAGACACTAGATCTTTCAACAAGAGAAATAATTCTGACCCCAGATTCCATCAGGAGTCTTGCACCAGTAACCCTATCAGGCAGTATACACTGCTTTGTGAAGAAGAAAAATAATGTATACTATTGAAATCGACTCTGAACTCTGAAATAGACTTGCGGTTGGCGGGTATTTATCTGATGGTTAATTTGTTGACCCCCAGTCTCCTTAACAAGCATTCTTATAGTATTGCATAAACAGTACATGTCCCCTACCGTGGTCCCCTTTTCTCTTTGGGATACAAGCTCGTTTAGTGCATCACGAACCCGGTCGTATTTCCCAAATTTTAAATACATAAAAACGCCATTATTTCATCAAAAATCAATGACGCGGACGAAATGCAAACTTGATCTGTAACTCATCAGGATACACTCACATAACAAAAATCAGCTCATTATCTGCAAGCGTTTAGAAAAAAAGTGCGGAAAACCAAGTGGGACAGACTGACAGACAGCTAGACGGACAGACTCAGAGGAAACCCATGTAACCCTCCGGTTTCACCGTTTCACCGGTAGGGGACTAAAACGTTGATAAAGTATTGACACACCTCAATTCTGAGGAAAGAAAATCTTACTTTTGATATGGCACAATAGACCTAGGATTTGCGAGGGGTGCAGTTTTCGACAAATTAGTCTTTTAAGTGATGGTAAATCGTTGGAAAACCGAAATATGATTTCAGTTAGACGACAAGGAAGATACCATCACTGAAATATTGGGACAGTCCAGTACAGGAAATAAGAAAAAACTGCAAAATCTTGAGGAAATGCTCTTTTGTTGAACAATTCGTTTACTTTGAACGTACTTGACTGATTTTGTTGTTAAACGACGACTCAGTAATATTTCGGCAATATTTTGTCTACCTCAAACGTAATGTAAAGTGAATGTATAAACATTTCATCGTTTTTGAAGGCTTAGTACATTGGCTGACTTTGCCATATTTTATTTCGGAGCCTAAGTTTAAATAAATGATAAATTTCAATGAAAAAAAAATGGCTTCAAGAAATATTTTTGAGAAGGAATCAAGTCTTTTAAGTGAATAAAATCATGAGATCCGATGTATTTCATGTCTACTAGCAATTATATTTGAATGTCTCTGCATGATCATTCAAGGAAACTGTAAACCAGATAAAAAGTGTGTAAAGTGAAGATACCGTAGTAATATGCTCCAGCATCTCTGAATGATATAAAAATAAAACTTCACGCCTTTGCATATGCATCTGAAAAGGCCTTTTTTGTTAAAAATTGTAGTTTTGTTAGGGTGCAGCTCTACTACGAAGAGATGTAGAATAATTTATGACAAATTCATACACATATTCAAAATATAGATGACTTTACTCGACATTTGGGTACTTTCTAAGAAGACCAGAAGATTTCATAGCCTTCTGGGACTAAAGACAAACATAATTTTGTTAAACCCTACATGGAAGTTCTAGTTAGTTAGGAACTGGTGCTTTGAAGAAGTGAGCAGCATCCCCTGCCGACCGT